TAAATACAAACTACTTTGTTAAAAGTTGATGTGGCAACTAAAATAGCAATAGATGTGAATAATAAAATTAGTAGAGTTGAAAATATAAATGTAAATATGAAAATGGTTCACATATGTTAAGGTGTACGAATAAGTTGTGTCCCATAATACATGCACACGATAAAAATACGTGTATACTTAAATCGAGATATAAACTACGACTAAAACTAGCATAGTGGTAGACATGGGTATATAAGAATCACAAAATACCATGCACAAAGTAGACAATAGTCATTTCTATTTCAATTGAATTCACTTAATACAAAAAAACTTTATTTGAATAACAAAAAGGCACTATTTGGTTTCTTATTTTCACACTACACATATTCTTCCACGTCTTTAGTCACTACCATAAATTTATTCCTTTCTGGTTTCCTTTTGAAACTCTGTCTGAGCTTTGGAGCTGGTGGTTTTGGATAGCTTTTAGGTTCAGGTACAGGAACTACTGTGAACTTTCTTATCTTGTCATGGACATTCCCACTAAAAGGCTTAGGGGCTGCAGGCTTTGTTTTGGCGATGTTAGATGTATTAGGTTTTTGATCTTTAAAGATTGGCGGTTTCGGAGCTGGTGGTTTCTCAAATATCTTCTTGGTTTCACTGACTTTATCCCGTCGTCTTATCGTTGGTGGCCTCCTTGGTGTAACTACCACAGAAGGTACAAAACCAGATTCGTTATCTGGTTCTGTTTGCATTTGCTTTATATTCTTTTGGAACATGTCTATTTTTGACTTCGCTTTTGTACCAAAAACAACATCTTTAGTAACACCTTCTGAATGCTCTTCGCTGTAAGTTCTTATTTCGATTTTTGGTTTAATTTTCTGTGGTTCTCTGTCGCGAGATTTCTCTTTTTTAGATTGATTGAAATTAAATTTCTTAGAAAGACCATACATTAAGCCCGGTTTAGAACTTTTACTAGAAACGACATCGACATCTTTTTCGATGATTTTCTCTGGCTCTTTTTTTAATGGAATCGATTTTATTGGAGGTTTTGGTATTGGACGTTGTTTTTTAACATCAGGAGATTGTGATCGTTCACTTGATGAATCTTTTACAACAATTTTCGGTGTACGTTTTATTTCTTTTTTCGGCTGCTTTTTCTGTCTGATGATGAACTGCAAAGGGTTTTTCGATTTTGTTGTCGCCTTAGGATTGCTTACTTCTTCGTCACTGTCATCTCCATAATCCTTGACTTCGACAGCAATGATACTTTCCTCGTCGCTAGATTCAGTGAATGATATACCATCATAATCCCCTGTATCTAAATGTTCTCTTACAACTTTGTCAATATTAAATTTAGCCATCATATTTGTTTGGGCGATCAAATCTTTACCTGAATTTGTTCTATTGGTTATAATATCTCCATCTTCGTAGTCTAAATAGTTATCGGAGCCTCCTAATTTAGGAATTCTATCTGAATAATTGGACATAGAAGTTGCAACACGGCATGCACTAAATTCATTAAATTTAACATCATGCCCATAAAAGCCAAAATCATCATCACTACTTGCAAAACGTTTAAGAGGATTGTCGTTGGCCGATACACTTAAAGTTGGATAATCACCTTTGACTTCATGACTGGACTGGGAGTGACCCCCACCGCGTTTAGCCTTGGGGGAACCTCTAGGGGGCACGGGTGGTGGTACCCTCTGCTTTTGTGATCCCTTTAACACCGCTGGGAAAGCTACGTCTGGCTCTAAAGTTGTCTTTGTCGATATCTGAGTGACCTTCGCTGCGGTGGAAATCGGTGACGTCACCGACGTAGGCGTTATATGCGCTGTGACGTCAGATAAGGAAACTGAAGGTATAAAAACACTCGTAATATTTGTATAGGTTTTATTTTAATACGAATAAAATTGTATATAAACATATTTGGCACGAATCGAGGAAAATATTAACAAAGTAGATATAAGTATAACAAATAAAAAATATTTTGTGTGTCAAAATGGAAGCGTAATTACGATAGTTTAATAAATTATATGTCCAAAATAGCGTGTTTATATTTATATTTTTTAGATAGAGCTTGACCGTCAAAGGAACGTATTTATTATTGGTGAGTTATTGATATTAGTGTTTGAATATAGATGAAAATGAAATAATAGCATGCAGATTTGTAAGAGACAGTGAATTTAAGACAATACCCAATAGTAAAAGATCCGATAGGTCAATAGCAGCATGAAAAAGAGAATTAATGCCATTAAGGTTAAAATTACTTTTAAAAGAATATATTTTTAATAGCTACATAGCAACATTTTTTTTAATATCACTCCAATTGCTTATAAAAATTTTTGGATATCAAGATAGATTTTTAACAGCGCAGAAAATTTTCTAAACGCGATATAAATAGTAGCAAAGCCTTCATATATCTTGAATATATTGAGCACATATACCGTACATAGAAATATAGCTATTCAAACCTATTATCAGTCTCACCTGCTTTGACTCCACCACTAGAGCTTGCTGCACCTAATCCATAGAAAGCGTGCAAACATTCAAATCCATACAAATTATTTCATCATACATAAATCTTACATTTAAGTTTCATTCACGATAACTTAGATCATACTAATATTAAAATGCGAAAGTTTAGATGGATGGATGTTTGTTAGAGTTTGTAGCCTAAACGACTTAACGGATCTGGATGAAATTTGGTATAAATGTAGAAAATAATCTGGAAGAACACATAGGCTACTTACTTCTTTTTTTTAATTTCACGCGGACGGAGTTGCGGGCGAAAGCTAGTTAAGTTATAAAGCCATTTAAAATTAAACTAATTAAAACCAATTCATTTAACGGGAACATCCAATGGGTTTCAACGGGAAACATCCATCAAATCTAAATTAATCTAACAAAATACACTAGTTTCTACACAGAGTAGTCACTAAATAAACCCCTTAGTGTGTTTAATATGTCAAAATTACAAAAAACACCATTTAAGTAAACTTTAACCCTACTCTACACAACGGCGGATCCACGGGGAGGGGGTGTCATGGGGGTCATGACCCTGAGCTACCCACCTGAGCCGGTTGGTTAAGAGCTTGATAAAATGTATTTACACATTTTGTCAAGCTATTAACTTGACCTCGACTGTGACCCCCTCTGGCGCCAAAGCTGGATCATCCCTTGTCTCTACAGGGCTAACTTCATAAACATCTCTAAAAAATAAAAATACAAATATCTTGTATAAATCTCATTTATTTCAACAATAATAAATATCCATTAAGATCTTGAGGCGTGCTAATGCAATATATACATAAAACCCTATCATATACATAGGGAAAGAAGCACGCCAACGTCCAACATATAGCAAACGATTCACAAATATATTTGGTATTCATTATATACAAATTCATCTTAAATATTAACAAGAATAAGTTAGTATTAACTGGGTATTTGATATTGCGTTTATAAGCAAATCTAATAGTTTAGGGATTATTCCCAACCGTCACCTCGTCTGTCCCCACCTGGCGACATATGAGAATAAATAGTTTCATCCGTCCCACCTTGTAGTCTCACTATCACTAATAAGGTGATAGATGGAACCATCAATAAATAAGTTCCAACCGTCCCCTCGTCGCAAAAATTGGGACGGATAAAACTTAATTCTCATGTGTCGCTACGTGGGGACAGATCGGTGTGACGATTGGGAATAATCCTAGTTTGGGTAACTAGTAAAAATAGTATAGTACGAATACAATTTGATACAAGGTCCATACATTTATAATCTGTATCAATACAACAAAAGTACGCGTTTTATATTTAGAGCTGCTGTCTTAACTTCAAGTTGCTATGATTGCCAAACTTCGTTAGGAGATGGCACCAAAAGAATACAATATAAATTTGTTAAAAAATACACAAAAAGAGCCGGCGTTAGGGTAGGGCGATCGCCCTGGGCGGTTGACAAAAAAGGGCGTCACGTGATTTTAAATTATACAGTCCCACATAAGCCTCTTAACCCCCTCAAAAGCTGGTAAAAGGGTGGAAATACTCGCCTAGAGCACAAAGACTTGTACTACATGAAAAAGATTAACATTAAAGGGCTATGAATATATAAAAAAAACAAAAAAAAACTATACAAAGTCTACCATAATAGTTTAAAATAAGACTTTTTTTCGCTTGTTAATTCATCTATATAGTTCAAACACAAAAACCATACTACATTCAATCATACAAGGTCAGTTTCCAATCGACATTATAAGTAGAGGTCAAAGATAGACAAAAAAAAACCATAAACATCAATGGACACAAAAAAAGCACTTGAACGTTCAGTCAATATATCTATTAAATTACATTGATACAGAATTATTCCAATGCAAGGACCATGTTACTATAAAATTATGATATTCGATTTTGACAAAATATTAAGTAATGGACGCCCTTTGCGATCACAAAAATTCCCATTTTATTTTCTAGAGGTAGTTATAAATATTACTCTATAATCTATTTGCATTCATAACTTGTTAAAATTAAAAAAAATGTAAGTTTAAAAAAAAAAAATTGTGACAGATTTTCCTGTGTTTGGATCAACACAATACAGATTATTAAAAAATATATACAATGTGCCAAAAAAATAAACATTTTTTTACTCGAGTACTAAATGTTTACTACAAACATTTTTAAAATACATATCAGAAATACATTTTACTGGGAATAAAAAATCTTTAACACGATTGTGAGTTAAAAATAATATCAAATAAATGACAAAAAAAAAGTAATTTCTACTCAATACAAAAAAAAAACAAATTTAACATGTAATTAAATAAAAATAACTTAATAAAATCTGTTTCTAACCTTATTTGGATACAAAATACAACATTGTGAAGGTACTAATAAAAAAAAACCTAAAAAGAAAAAATCCACACAAATATTGTCAGGAACTGCTTGAAACCTCAGAAAAGAACACGCAATATCAGGAACGACTAATTCCACATTTAAATTAATAAAAAATTTTCAAGACCTACAATTGCATTTTTATACTAGAAGCCATTTCTTTCAATTGTTTTTTTCAAAATGTAAACAACAAAGAATTAAGCTGATTTTAGAGCTGGCACATCTTTGACTAAATTATCGCACGACAGTCGTGCGATTGTCAATTGTTTCGCAGCCTTCAACTGTTTAGTTGCACATCTAAAAATCAAGTGCGACCTCCATATAAGCTCATAGGAATCAAAGCGAAACTAAATAGTTATGCGATAGTTTACTCAAAGTTGTGGGTTCTTGTTACAATATAAAAACCATTCAGTCAAACTATATGTACTAAACAATTACGATTTGACGATCACCGCTGCAATTTTTCATTCCACCTAACATAAATTTAAACCATAACGGTTTCTTTCAAATCTTCAATCCGCTGGCGGTACAATAATAATAGTACTACCGCTATCATTGCCCGAATAAATTTCCGCTTTATCTAAACTCCTTACATAAACTACCTCTTTGATGTACCTTTCGGATTCCGAATCTCTTATATGCTCGTCTCCATTTAATTGTACGACAGACACATGGTCGTTAGTTTGACTACTCACGTCGCTATTTTTAATCGTGATTGGAGAATCCGGTCGTATATAAACGGTCTGCGTTGATCTTACTTTACGAAATCTCATATCTTTCGGTAAAGTAGACGCTTCTCTCGCTTCTGATCTTATTGGTGTTACGCTTCTCGTTCTATAGCTGGAGTTTAGACTTTTTGGTAGCGTACTGGGTTCCCTTAGAGGCGTTTCTGTTATCGAAGAGCTGTCAGTTTTAACCAATCCAATATCCATGAAGAATTTTTTAAATTTCTCGACAAAAGTCGGTGATTTGGCTCTGTTTAGGCTACTTGATAGCCTCTCATTGGAGTGTTCTTTCGAGCTGACCTCGTCTATCTTCTCTGGTATATTGGACATGCTCTTGTGTTTCTCTAGAATGTTCGACCGTCTCTTCGCTTGTTTCTCTTCATCATCATCATCGATGAAAGGTATATCTTGAAGATTGTTCTCATTTCTAGTATCGACGGCTGCGTCTTTTAGTATTTTGATAACAGGAGGGAAGTTTGTGTGTGGCTCCGCTATATATATTTGCGGTACACTCGTGCTGGTATTATCAGTTTGTATGCCGCTGTCAGCTAGGCTGCCGTTTATATGGGTGCTGCCGGCTCCCGTGCACAACACTTTAGTTAGCTGATCAGATAGTGATTCCATTCTATCTTGAATCGAGGATCGGTAGACGTTGTCCGCGAACGAGGGTCCAGCCTCTCTGGACGTCAGATTGGAAGTGTCAAAGTCGGTACGTCTTTGGAAAGTGCCCATACGATCTCTGTCGATGATTTTCAGTCTATCAGAGAGCACGGATGGGTATTCTGTAGGTATTTGAGGGATGCGTGGCTTCTGATTCCACGTCGATATAGTCGTATCGGTAAAGTCACTCATACTAGATCTTAAGGAAGATCTCGGCGACAATCTGGACGTTTGCCTTAGTAGTATTTCAGGGTTATAGTCCTTAATCGTTCTGCCGACGAGTTTTCGCCCTGAATAACAGACGGCCAAGTTAATGGTAACACATGGCTCTGGTTTTGCTTTGGTGATACATTTCAGTTTATTTCGCTTCACCCGACAGGCAGCCGGACCTGGCCGTTTCCACATTACCGGTTCTCACACTGACCAACACCGTTAGCACATATAAATTTAACGTCACAAAAGTATTGCATAGCGTTGCGAAACACTAATCACGCGGATAGCCAAAAAGGGTAATCCATCATTAAAAAATGAAAAAACCTTTTGCAGACGGAAAAAAATAAAAAAAATCACATCAAAAAGGTCACATACACCGGATAGGATGTGGGGGTGGGAACAAAAATAAACTGAAATGTATAATAAACAGGTACCAAAATCATTCACTTAATGTTAGGAATAGGTAACCTAGCTACCAGTATTAACTTAATTAAATAAAAATTTATTGTTAATCTACACTATTAGTACTAATCTTAAATACTAAAATTATCTACTTAATAAAATAAATTACCTGGTGTATCAATTTCTTCCAAAGGCTTAATCGGCTTGGCGATGCTTTTTCTCTTCGAAGGAGAGTGTTTCAGGGCTAGAAATATTTTTTTTAATTATTACAATGACATTATAGTCTCATTAAAAGTATCGTGATATACTAAGCATTTAACTAATATTCAACCAATAGTTAATTATTTCAAATCACATCACGATACTTCTAACTAAAAAAACTATCGAATTAAACTTTTTAAAAACTATTGAAAAATTAAGCACTGCAAAAAATGTATTACTAGGCATTGCAAATTATATTTTTTTTCCTTTAATTGAAAGCTATTTGAAATAAAAAAGTGTGATAAAATAGACATGCCTAAGATTAGTGTCGTATCAGAGATTTCAATTTGGAATTTATACTTTATTAGTTTGAGATAAGAGACACATTTCTTTAATCTTTTTATTCGAAATTTCAGAGAAAGGAATTTATAAAAAAAAATTGAAAATCGAAAGTAGTGCTTAAAGAACAATTCATAGCAAGTATGAAAACTACAATCCAGGCCACTAACTACCGGGGAAATAGAAAAAAACAATCTATAGATGGAGCCACTGTGTGGTACAACGCTGAAACACCGACAAATGTAAAAAAGAAAACGTTTGAATGCATATAAAATAGCGGTATTATCAAAAAATGTGAAAAAAATAGAAGTTTTTTTAGTTTTTTTTTTTAGTGTTTTTTGCATTAAACGTTTTCCAATAGACAATGATAATATGAAAGGACAAAGAAGGTTCCAGGCAATGGCGGACGATCACATTGTCATGCTTGTAACGGACAATCCATCAATCCTTAGGGACTTACTCAGACCTCCAGTGACGCGCGCGAGAATCCGATTACGGACAATTGTTTGAAAGAAAAAATGAAAAAAAACACAGATATTATTTTCATATGGCAACAATCACAAAATCAGGGGAAGATTGGGGGCGTGCATGACTTTAAAAACAATTCATAAAAAAATAATGTCATGCCAGTGACAATTTTTTTAAATAAAAAAAAATAACAAAAACTGCATTAAACAATTGATAACTTTTACATGCCTAATACAAAAATGCATTTAAAAATTGCTTTGTTGATATTAAACAAAAAAAAAATACTTTAGACGACAACAATATCACATTCACGAACATAAAAAACGCCTACAAAAATAAAGGTTAGGGTGTTGGTAGATTAGAGCAAAAATTAAAAAAAATATTATATTTTTTAGACATAACGTTAATTCTATAAAATCTCAGATATATAAGAAAGTTATTCAATCTAACACAAATACTAAACAATACTAGCTTTATCTACGAGACAACTTTACCATATAATAGTCAATTTACTGCTAACTAAATAATTTAATTTAACCATAAAATGAGCTAGATTTCAAGCACTAATATCAAATATTTTATAAAGAAGATAGTTCTATTTGTATTCAAATATACATAGATTTTGAAGCATAAACAGAATATTCCTGTACCTTAGAAATTCAACTGACAATTTAACATACAGGTAAAACTACCTAGACATACTTAATTTCTATACTACTAGCAGTAGTAGAATACACGAAATCTACTATAATTAGTAATTGTTAATACACCAACACCCGCCCCCATACTACAGATTGCCACAATTTTACTTGAACGGGTTGGAAAAAATTTCCCAAAAAAAAACTTTTTTTTATCTACCTAGTACAGTTTAGACAATGTTTATAGACTTAAGGACAGTCTTAGCCAATTTAATAGTAAAGATTTTGTTAGTTTTTGAGTTTATTAAAAAAATTTTTTTTCAACTAACTTATGCCAGCAACTTCAATCGCGAGGAATTAATAAGATAAAAAAATCTTTTTACTACAAACATTTATGTAGCTTCTTAATGGCAAAAACATTTTAAAAATCGGTTTAATACGTTTTGAATTTAATTATTAAATACAAAAATAAATCTTTTACTATTACAGAATGAAAAAAATTATATTTTTGTATGTATTTGATTCAAGTAATAAAAAAAACTACATGGCCGATTTCAAAAATAATTTTATGATTAGAAAGGTAATTTATCTGTAAGTAACATAGAGTATGTTTTATTAATTCCACGGGGACGAAGTCGGCTGCAACAGCTATTTTATAATATAAGTATAGGTCAGGGATGACGAATCACTGGCACATACCATAAAAGGCACATAACGACATAATATTTTGGGCACATCGATAATCAAAAAAAAGCTACGAAAAAAATAAAGTAGATGCACCATGGAATTGACGTAATAATCGCAATCAAAAATGTTCCTTGACACGTCTAACACCCCATTAAATATTTCTTTAAATAATGGAACTTTGCATCAAAATTTATTTTAGTTTAACTGGCAAGGTTAACTTCTCTTTACCCCGATCAAGTAATACTGTGACAAGGTATACGCACACAAAAGACATATAAAACGGCACGTCGCGGCCCTACAGTACCTATGTAGCTCGTGACCAGGGTGCGGAACTTGCGGTGGTTGCCTTTGATCTCGGGCAGGTCCACTGGCCAACAATGAGCTCGTGTTATTTGCGTTTACTTGTTATTAAAGCGTTATAGATACTAGCAATTAGTTAATCAGGATAAAACAGTGAAAACAGGTACCTTCTTATAATTAGATAGCTTTGCAGACTATTACATATTTTTTTTTAAATTTATATTTGTATCAAAATTGATTTACAATTCAAAAAGGTTGTATTCAAGTAATTTCAATACTAAAAATGTATAATCTATTTAAAACCTATGGAGGAACTGAGTACTGAGTGTAGAGAATATTTAAATTAAAATTTCTTAATATTATTAGTCATTTTTAAGACGAAATACATGGAATGGATAAAAGCGGAGACGAATTTGACCAATAAAGGTATGATTATTGAAGATTAAACATAGATTATTTTAAAACTCCACTTTAATTATAATTCATAAAATTTTAATACTTTAAAACCTACAAGTTCGGAGGATCGCAAGAAAATTCGCATGTAAATGATTTTTTTTATATTCCATGTTCAACAAACAAAAAAAACTTTGTCCCTAAACGTAAAATTCATACATAAAGCAGAGTTTTAAAACATTTCACTTACAAATCTTCCGATAGCATTTAGGTATTTTGATTATTAAAAATATGTTAATCACATATATTTAGTTACACATAATAGCACATCAAGGGAAGTTACTGCCGTACTCAGAGTCATTGTTACCTTGTTACAATTAACTCTGTGTACTTCAGTTCAATGATATATGATTCTATTTCGCCTACACAATTGTAAAAGCCGATCTAATTCGCGAAATGACATTCTCTACTAAACATGATGAAAACTAAGACAAGAAAGAAACATAGAAGAGAAAAGAACAACAGTTTAAATAATTCCCTATATAAAATATTTCTTTTAAATATAGCTTCAAATTATTTATCTAAATCCTGTAAAAATTAAATTAAAAAGTTAGAAAAAATATAAAACAAAATCTGTACTCACACGAAGGTATTTTCTTAAAGACAGTTTTGCCCATGAAGTCTAGAAACCTCTGCGCATAGAAGCTCGGTCTGTGCACTGAAACTGTATCCTGAAAACATGGGTTTTCCTATTAAGTAAAAAAAAAAGATATTTAAAATCAACCCACAGTGGCCCAGCGTGGTTGACTAAGGCTCAGTCACCCTTAGGGTAGGCTCCAAGCCCCTCAATGACAGATGTATGACTTCTATCCCTATCGTAATCCAGTATTTTAGTGGAATTCACTTTGTTATATATCACGCATATTAGTGACTAGCTGTTTTCGTGCGGCTTCATCCGCATTCAATTATAAAAACTTTATTTCACAGTTTACATTGGTCAAATTCTCAATTGCATATGTCAAAATGAAATGACATGATGACAACCTTGCTTCCTTGATGTTGGCAGCAACTTATGGTCTCTTTCCCACATTAGGGTTTTTGTCCAAAATCTTTACCCCCTAAGATTAATGGCGTGAAAATATATAGCCTAAAGCGTGACGTCAGTGTAGGGCATTTTATAAAAAAAAGAATGATTTGAAAATATGTTGTAATTGCTGACATCTTAGGCAACAAAGAAGTGTGTGTTTACGCTTTATTATAATAGATAGTATAGATGTATGACTACTAAGCCAGTTGTGTTCCAGTATTCCAGTGGCACTCACTCCGTCATGTATCATGCTCTTCCAGGTGTGCTCCAGCTTCTTGCGCAGTCGGTACGACTGCAGGATGTCGATGATGCCGAGGAAGAGCAGCAGCCGCTCGCCGCGAGCGTTCCGCGCTGGAATGCCGCCTGGCCTGGAACATTTTTTTTATTAATAAGTATACCTTACTTATAAACTACTACAAGAGTTTATCGCTTAAACTTATACTTTCATACTAATATTATAAATGTGGAAGTTTAGATGGATAGATGTTTGTTAGTGTTTGTAGCCTAAATAGCTGAAGAGATTTCGGTAAAATTTGTTTCAGATGTAGAGGATAGTCTAGAAGAACATTTAGGATATTTACTTTTGTTTTTTTTTATTCCACGCGGACGGAATCGCGGGCGAAAGCTAGTTAAAAAAATCTATCTTACGGCACATCCTCCTCCTCATCGATGGGTTCACTCTCCGCCTGGATGCTCTCCATCGCCGTGGAGTGCGCGACCAGCCGCTGCCGGTTGATGGACCTGCATAGCGAAATACATTAACTCCTCCATACAAACAACACATACCAGTAGTAGTAACAAAGTACAAGTTCTTTGTTGTACCAAAAAGTCAATTGTACTTTGAACTAACTCTAACCAAGAATATAAAAACCCTGACTTCACTTCAATCAGCTTCCTTATTACATCTAAAGTACAATCAAGGAAACTGGCGGTGTTATACCTTCGAAATTAAAGTCGTTTGAACGCAATGAAACAATAACCAATAAGCCCAGCTTTTAAACGTGTCTGAAAGTCCGTTAATGGTACACGACCAATTGCGTGTTATATTATCCTATCGTTTAAGCAACTCAGTGGTACCTAATAATTTGTAAGAAGAGACGGAGCTTGTCTCGTTGTAATGAACAAGGTAATTTTGCTGTAAGTGTAACACCGCAAATGTAGAATCGGAGAATCTGGCAGTGTTCTGCACTAAAAGTTAGTCGTTTGAAATTTGCTGTACACATTGAGATTGCAATACGAAACATAAACGCAGCGTTTAAACGTGTCTATACGAAAAAATATCTATTAGTTGTTGTTCAGCGCTACTGCACTGCAACGGGGAAGCCACGCGGAGGAGAACCCTTCGCACTTCATCCGCGATGCAATTAGTTGCGATCAGAACTATATCTCGGCGACGCATTTTACTTTTTTCATATTTCCAATAAACAGTTTGCCAGCAATACAGTATTATTCTACTTTCCCAAAGAAAATACAGTCCATTCCACAAACAGTTGTATATAAGTCTGTATTATCTCGTAATTTTCGCAATAAGTTGGACATTTGATAATAGAAGTGGCGTTTGTCTCGTTTGCACGGATCGTATCGATCGAGGAATTTACTCTGTAAATATAACACTGCCGTTTTCCACAACTGTACGTAAAGTTCTAAATTTATAAATAAGTAGGGTTTTTATATTTCTGGTCAGATTACATGGCCATTTCTATTTTTTAAAACTCAGATAACAATGTTTTGGCAATGGAAACTGACTATAAACATATCCAGATAAATACAAGCCAGATGAGATTTTATCTTTTACCACACCACAATGGGATATAGCCTAATAAAACTATAAGAGGAAATAACGATTTCATTAGAAGTTACAAGAAAGCAGATTCAAACCTAAATTTATAACAGAAATTTTAGATGAAAAATATAATGTTATTTGTAATATTAAACCTATATTCATGCCTTTAGTTAAGAAACCTTTTTAACACATGCAAATAACCTATATTAGGACAAGAACGAAATGAGACAGACAGATGTTAGTGTAAACTAGACGTTAAAATGGATTAATTTCGAGACAGTGATTAGTAGGACATTCAAATTGTACAGTCAAAGAATTAAATTCCCTTCCCACTAAGATAAAAATCTACAGTAAATTGTGTCCGCAAAATGGTTTACTTTAGGATATGTGTTGCTGACATATTTTTGACTGAATTCCCAAAAGAATACTCAATTCGTGTGGTTTTTTTTTATAGAATTCCATTCTGAGTGTCAAATGACATTTTACCAAAGTGGGTAGGAGAACAACGTCCTCGACCGTACATAAATAAAAGAGACAGATATCGTACTGTGTCCTTTTCACTTGCATCCCGAAATCCTCCTTGCTTTGCTCAGATCTGAAAGTTTCAAAGACACACCGTCACCACAGCCTACTATAATACAGAGAAATATCCTAACAATGCTTTTGATTTATAAAATGTTATATTTACTATCTTATAAAATCATTTACCATCTATCAAGTATAGAATAAAATCTTTTATGCTATGAAAATTAAAAAAAATAATAAATAACATGTATGACGCAGGAAAAAATTGTGTTAACAATTTCTGTTAACATTACATCTTTTTTTTTCTTTTAGACCAATTTAAAAAAAAATCACTAGATTCGATTAACCTATTATAGTTAGAACTATAGTAAGTATACCAAAGACCCAAAAAGGGATACCTTTTGGGTCATCATTGAACACTAAAACTTTAATGTCTGCCTGGATTTTGGTAATCACCGGTCTAGAATTTACCTGGTTCTATTGAGTCCGCTTGACTTCGGTTCCCCTTCATCTTCACCGTCACTCTGTCCGGAGTCCGTGCGCTTCCTTGCCTCCGTCTTCTCTCTTTGAGCCTCATCCAAGTTGTGGATACCGACCAGTAGCGAGTAATCCATTATCTGAAATGAAGTAATGGATTTCTTTAGTACTATGATTTGTGTTTAAGCACTTGACTTAAATAAGGATTATTCTCAACCGTCACCCCGCTCTGTCCCCACGTTATAATAAAGTTTCCTTCGTCCCACCTTTTGCGACGAGGACGGTTGGAACTTATTTTATTTCATAATGGTTATCTGTCACCTTATTGACGATAGTTAGACTAAAAGGTGGGACAGATTAAACTTCTTATTTTTAAGTGAGGACACATGGGGTGACGCTTTTTATAATCCACAATCTACAAGCCATGGATTCGAATCTTGTCATATATCAATGTTATTTTCAAATTACTTATGTACATTTATGTTCTTACGGTGAAGAAAACGTGATGCCAGCACTTATCGTCAAGGAAATTCAAATATATGGGTAAAGTAAACCCGCAGTACAGCGTATTTACTGGCCTTTTTTTTTGTTACCCGAGGGGAATGCCTCTTACGCATATTCCGCGTCCAGGGGGGACGCGGTAGTTATGTGGGACTCTCCCCCCATAATGGCCAAAGCCTTAAGCCGGGGCTGTGGGCACGCTTTCGCTTACGTCCGGGGGTGTTTTACTAGCCTAGTCACCTTTAGGGTAGGCTCCGAACCCCTCAGTGGGGACATACAGTGAGGTGATGCGGTACAATTCCATCCAATATTGTCTTAAAGATGCATTTTATGAGTCGATATTGACAATTTTTCCTGGATACATAGAGTTCTCTTATAGTAACATACTTAGTTAATACTTTAGAAGAATACCTATAGTACTTAATACCTTAAAACTCTCCAAGACGCGACAATCTCTCTGCATAGTTTTGATGAGGGCGGTGTAGGTGTCAGCTTCTAGGAAGATGCCTTCACAATGATGCTCCATGAAGTCCAGGTCTTTATACGTTGGTGAATTCTTTTGTCGTTCCGTTTTACTTGCCTGATATAAATACAAACATATGTTACGATTCTTAAATAAGATAGTATCATCAAAAAGTGTTAAAATTTGCTAAAATATATACTAGCTGTTGATAGCGACTTCGTCCACGTGGAATTATTAAATAGTAGAAAATATAGTCTACGTTAGTTGATAACGTAGCTTTTTAATAGTGAAATAATTAAAAACAACCGAGTAGTAATATTAGTATAGAAGAATAGATAAGCCATGGTATCAGTAGTAGTGACTTAAATGAGTCAAAAATTGCCAAACCATATAGGACAAATTGTAACGAACAAGCCACATATTTAAGTTGTCAGAAATATGCTCACTAATAATGGAATATCGTGTATAAGGTACTTACACTTGAAAAATCTTTAAACTAAACGACTATCACATACCTTCCTCTTATAGGTTGATCCTTTGAGATCGTATTTCTGGTGTAACTTGACGGAGGAGGGCAGCAAGTTGTTCATAGCGACCAGCCGCACGTTCTTGCTGTTGCACTGGTAGCAGTACAGTCCGAAGAACTTTGGTAGGAGCGTGCGGGGGTTCTAAAGAAACGAGAAAAGAATTGGTTGCCATGACAACAAAATTAATATTCAGTATACTCTGCAGTGTAATCTTACATACTAGGCAAGGGTGGCAAACCACTGGCACGCCATAAATCGCACACATAATATTTTGGGCACGTCGAAAATCATAAAAACACTACGAGAACATTATGAAGTAGGTGAACTACGGAATTGACGTATCAATACAAGTAAAAATTATCATAAACACGTCTAAGACTGCAATAAACATCTCTTTAAAAAAATGGCATTTTAATACAAAATGTTCGCCACCCCTATACTAGTGACTAGTCTTGGTTTCGCTTGCGACTTATAAACTTAAATTATCTTCAATTACTAGGTGACGAAAAAGCTTTATGTAGATGAAAGAATTATTAAAATATACTAATCATTTTTTTTAACATCTCTAACATTAGTATAAAGTCTTCTTACGAGATAATATAGAATGTTCGTAATTATATGAAGGAAATAATTCAAACACATATGAATGGTTATTCAGTTGCTTGCTTATTAAATTATTCATTATTTAACAGTGATATTTTTGCTATGTATTTTCTAGGCATTTATGTTAATATTACTGAGAACCGCGAGGAATTATACATTAACAAGCCAGTGAGATCTAGACTGCATCTGTAACGTCTAATAAGGAATAATTATGTGATATGTAAAGTCAACATCTTTCTTAGTATTTGTACTGTTAAGAAATCGGTACTAAACCGTAGTAGAGGCTCAACACTAGATCATTGGTATACACGTCCCATCCCTATGACATCTGTCAATGTCATTGAGACATATTAGAATAAGCGCGCCAAATCTTTGCGGGCGTAAACTGAGTGTCCAAATAGATTTACGTTGTCTAAGAGGTGCAAACACCTTTGACCAAACAATCGCTCAACTGTTAAGCGATTGTCGATTGTTTCGCAGATAATTCAACTGTTTAGTTGCACAACTAAAAATCAAGTAATGTAGTTGTTCGATAGTGTGCTCTAAAAATACTGTGTATTGATGAACCTGATCGAGGTTTAAGTAGTATCCGGGCAGTAATTTCTGTAGAAACTCTCCCTCTTTGTGCTGCACTGTCTTGATGATGAACTCATCATCGTTGGTCAGATAGAAGATGCTACCGGACGCGCCGGGGTTGCTCAACTCTCGTAGCGGTGCACTGCTCATTGACATCTGGGAAAATAAAGCGGTTATCTGTCATTTGTCATTTTGAAGTACGGTTCCATTGGCTCCTAATGAATTGCTTTTAACAAGTTTAGTGTCCACGCTAAAGTTAAGCTTTTACGGAACTCTTTTCAACTAACTAATCAAGCACATGGGTAGAACAATGAAAACTACCTCAGACGCCGGATCTCAAATACGGGAAAAATACTTCCCGTAAACCACTCAACGTGTTGAAGTATGAAGTGTCTTTCGATAAGTATTATTTTCTTGTCAAATGATCAATCGAGGTTCTTGGATAAAAAATTAAAGTTAACTAAGTTGTTGACAAAGCTCATAATCAACCGCTGTGTGCACTCGTGTAGATAATTCCGACCAAACCGCATTATTGTTAATTTTAGAACATGTTTACCACAAAGCGATTTTAGTTGCAAGTTATTTATTTTGTAATTACCGTGTATTAGTCACAAAAAACTATGATTACTCGGAAATATTAAGAGAAATTCTGCTGCAACAATTTCCCATGTTAACACTTACAATGCTACTACGATTTTCATTTATTTGTAGTACAATAGAACCTCGATAACTTCAAAAAATAATATGTTCCCTTCAGAGCGCAAAACCTCTATACCATAGACCCTTGATAACTTAAAACCTCTATAACTTGAAATATTTTAGGTTTCCCTTGGACTATAACTTATCGAGGTTCTACTGTATTGCATGACGAGTATGTGGCAATGAATGTATTGAACACTATCGATTAATGTTTATTCTAGTGCCAATCAAAATACTTCAGTAATGGAATCGATTTTATATCAAAACAACTGCACTTAACGTAGATACAAACAATCAATCATGAACTACTGTTTGATATCCATCTGTACCAAAGTAATTACTATACGTCAAACAAAATACATTGTATAATAAACTCTGCCCGACGAAATGTTTTCAGGAACTAACATTAACACTAGCTGTTGCCGCGACTTTGTCCGCGAGAAATTAACAAAATAATAATAAAAATAGCCTATAATCACAAATAAATTACCTTTCTAACAGTGAAAGAATTTTTAAAATCGGCCTCGTAGATTTTGTATTATTTAAATATATATGCAAAAAAAAAAACAAATCTTTCCTCTTTATAATATCAGTATAGAATACTCACACAATTACGATTAGGAGAAAAAAAGTACTTAAAAGCGTAGCGTATCGAGAATCTTCTTCTTTTAAAGTCGATTAAAAATAATAAAAACGTTATCTCCATTTCTAAGTTTGTTAATGTCCAAAATAAGATTAACATTGGGACCTGTGTATATGTACTTGTTAATACACTTCATAAAATTACATTATTACCAATCAAAGTGTAGTATTATTTTAAAACAATTGAATACTCACCAAGAAATCATCCGGCTGTATACCGAAGAGATCTCTAAAGTATCTGAACGCGATGGGGGCGTACGTCTTAAACTTGAACTCGGAGTAGTGATGGGCGGGGGTGTGGTTAGAACCTTCGTGCGGGAAGTTTGTCGTTTCTACCGTCATGAAGTCCTGCATGAGAAGGTCGCGCTCCGGCTTCGAGGCTAGACCACCGATCGCATGTTGGATACCTGATAACAAGTGAATGATAAATCAAAACAACGATAATTCAACACCTTTAGTCACTAGGGTTTGATTTGTATGAAAACTCGCTAGACAAGTCGAATCCACTCAACGTGTTAATAACAAAATCAGTAACAACCTATTTATAAAACACTGTGTGAAAGGCCCTAAGTACTACTCAAACTATGTAAAACTAATGCCATTAAAAAAAATACTAAAAAAACAAAAATGGTTGCTACATCTGCACGTGTCCTACTTGGACTCATCAATCAATTAAAATAGTCAATTAATGCTGGCATGTTGGAAAAATTTTCATTATTTAAAAAAAAACTAACCGAGCTCCATAGCAGCAGTCCAGTCGACGTTACGCTAACGTAAGAGCCGTGTTTCGCACATAAACATGCGCAAGCTCGCTATCGAGTTTTCTATTTTTAATCGACTAACGCTGAAAAAGGTTACGGCCATAGTTCATGAGCGTAAACTTTTTATTAAACTAAAAGGTTTATTATCAATATTCATAGTTAAATGTCACGTGGTAGGAGTTATGTTAAAAGCATTTTTTCCCTTACTAATATTATAAATGCGAATGTTTAGATGGATAGATGTTTGTTAGAGTTTGTAGCCTTAACTATTAAACTAATCAAGATGAAATTTGGCACAAATGTAGGTGATAGTCTGGAAGAACATATAGGCTACTAGCTTTTTTTTTAAATTCTACGGCGAAAGCTAATCTTTAATAAAGTAATGCCATAAAGAAAATTGTCTAAACCAATACTTGACAAATTACAAAAGGATAATACAAATATCTCATATCAAATTGCCTCCTTAACCGTAGTTTACTATTGGCTAATAATCTACAGAAATCTACCCGACAGTCGACAACAAATGTTTATAAAAGCCACAATAAAATAGTTGCCAGTAACATATGACTTAGATAAGTTGATGAGATTATCAATATAATTGGAATGCAAATTACAAACAAAAGCAAACGTACTTCCGGTCTTAGAGGAAGTAACCGGCGCCAAGGCTAGCCGTTTATCAAACTCATTCATATACAAAAGAAATAAAGTATTATTTTTATCGTATTATATTTTGCAATCTTCTACAGAGCTTGACTGTTATTAACGGAAGTCTAGTTATCGCATAATGTACTAAGAAAATGTTGTTATATCTTGTAATCTTATGACACTAAGGAAATAGTTACCTTACACACAAATGTCTAGGGCAACAGTCACTTCGTTATTTCATCGACTCAGATGGTCGTTAACAAGTTGTTTTGTATAACAAACATTAAGTTTAAAATTATTTTTTTCGTTAAAATAGCTTGGATAAAAATTTTTTATAAATATTTAAATTCATCGATAAAAATTTCAATAGCGGCACATCACTAATTTCAACTCATTCATTCGACTTATCGAAAAAATCGATAGACGAGGGTGGCAAGGTAAGCTGTACATATATTTTATGTACTTATATATAAAAGCGTCTATTCTTAAGACGGGATAGAACCTAAAGTAAGTATTTACAATAAGTGAAGCGAGAAAGAGTGGTGTACTGAGTGACTTTTATGATAGAGAACCGTTTGCAAGTTGAACGAAAGTCAGTTTCCTTTGCCGAAAAACCGCAGTACAAAGACATATTCTTTTTGTAGGAGAATAAAGGGAGTGCTATAATTTTATACACTTTTTCGCAATATAACATCGTAATTTATTAATGACTTGATTGAAGTCAACGAAAAACAAACATTACAAGGAAACAAGTCTAGTAGCAAGAAGTATGGATAAATAAAACATTTAGTTAACTTTAAATAACATTGAAACAATTTATGATATTTCTGCCTTTAATATTAACTGCAACAATTTACTAAAAGGTCAAAGTAAGAAACATAATTATCGTTGACCTGAAAGAAGTTAAATCTGTTAATACTTGCAAGTCGTAAGTATATAATTATATTTACGGAGGTCGTTTTCTGGGACTTAATAATGAAAATAATGTTTAAAAACTATTGAATTCTGTAACTTAATTTTGCTATAACATTTATCAAAATGTCTATTACTGAGAAAACGAAAGAATACATAAGAAAAGTCCTCTTGAAGATTAAAATATTTCATTATAAAGTAACAATTATGATATCTAAAAGACAAATGTATGGAAAGTTCTAATTTTGTACCACTTATACATTAGCTGATTCAACGTTAGTTATTAAAAAAATGTTCTCTTGTAAGTGCTGAGTACACTTGTCATCTGTGTGTTCTTCTGCTTTTTATTTGTCTAAAATATAATTGGTTGGGAGCGTCGGTGGCTCAGTGGTTTCAGCACTTGACTTGTAATCTACAGGTCTTGGGTACGAATCCCGCCATGTACCAATGTGATTTTCGATTTTCATATGTACATAATTTATCCGACGTTCTTACGGTGAAGGAAAACATCGTGATGCAACCTGCACATATCGGCGAAGAAATTCAAAGATATGTGAAGTCAACCAACCCGCATTGGGCCAGCGTGGTTTGACTATGGCCTAGTCACCCTAACTTAGGGTAGGCTCCGAGCTCCTCGGTGGGGACATATAGTGAGCCGGTGATGATGATACTTGGTTGTGAATTTTGAACATGCAATTGGTGTACCTTATAAATAAATAAATAATTAAATACACCGTTCAGTGTGGCCTCACCTTACATCAATAGTACATTACATAACTAAATCGAAGAAGTACAAGAAACAAAGATAAAAACTAGTTTAATTAATCAAGCCAGCCGTAACTCGGTCAACAGCACAGCGCAATTATACCAAAGAACTTTTTAACAACCGAACTGGAATGATAATGAAGTGCCATGTTTAAATGTCAATGGAAACGATAAGAAAATAATTATATTGAAATAAACCTATTTTAAGTATGCAATATTTCACATGCATAGAGTGAAATCATCTCCTTGTCATTATCCCATTCACTCCTGACTTTAAAATCATCTCGTAGGCTTCTATAATTACAATCTTCACTGCCTTCTAGATAATGTCACCTTTCACGCAATCCATCCATCTTTTCTTGCTTACCTCAACCAATTACTTCCACACACAAAACTAAAATTCCCCAAATTACATGTAATTCTTCCCTCCTCATAACATGCTCATACCGTGTTTACCTTTCACTACAATTACTCTACCTTTGGTCCTTCAAATTTTCTCTAATACTTTACAAGTTTACACTTGAATCCTCCTGTTATTATCCCACTCATGTAGGGTAGGCACTACGTATCCAGATAAATCTATCTTCCGTCATTTCCGCCGTCAGTCCCTTTTTGATCATGTCCTTCACGTAAACCATCCATCTCTTGCTAAGCATATCCTAACGGGTAACAAAAACCTACTACTTCTTTTGGCGTAGGTAAAGGTTCAAAGTTATTTCATTGAGAAATACCTTCCGTGTTCAAGTATTACGTCATCATGCTTAGCGTGCAATGAATCAGTGCCTACGTTGCTGTCTAGACACGACACCGCAAAATCTCGCCGGCCTTGAACCATCGGAGCGGTCTATCACTCTCAAGTTACGATACACATATCAATCAAGTTGGCTAATACTCAAGTATGTGCTTAAATCGATTTGATTTCGCAATACTTTGATTACAAATATAACAAACACGGTGTATTTGAATTAAAAAAACGCTATCTTTTTATTTATTCAGTGACTAGCTTTCGCTCCCGATTCTGTCCGCGTGGAATTTAAAAAAAATTATAAAGTAGCCCTTGTGTTTTTCCAGACAATGTTCTGGGCCAATTTTCATCGATATTTCAGCAGTTTAGGCTCAGAACTCTTACAAACATCCATTCATCTCATAAGTAAAGTAATAAGATAGAATTTGCAAACGATAAATGTCCTACAAAAATTGAAGATCATAAATTTATAATTAGTTTTTTTTTTACAGGTTTGTAATTTTTATTTAAAATTAAGCCTTAATTACATGATCGTTTGTCTCTTTCAATTTAATTATACCTTCAGACATCAAAAGCACCGGAAAAACGCCTTAATAGCAATTTCACGAATTACATTAGCGGAAAATTAAAATCTTTATATTAAGAATATAACATTAAAAAAAATCTTATTTACGCAATCTAATAAGGTTTCTCTAGAACACTAATCTAAAAGGTAGTGATGGTTCGTGACTAGTAGCTAACTTAGAATATGGGTAACAAATACCAATAACTTTGGAAGTTTCTGGAACTACCGTTACTGAATGATACAGACGATTTATGCTCAGACAAGGAGAATAACAAATCAATTTGTTCGATGGCCACAAAAGATATTTAGATGAAAGTTTGGTTACTCTAACTTGAGATTTACATTTCGCATAAAATTTTTATATGGTATTGTTGTTGTCAATTAAAGGTTTTAGCAGTAAAGGTAAACAAAATTGTCTATTTAAAAACTCGCATAAAACCACACTAGTAATTCATTGTCCTACGAATTGTTTTGCGACTGTACAATGTTTATATGCTGACCATACCTGTACACTATGATAAGATAAAAAAACCATCTCTCATGAGTTTTTATAATCGTAAGTTTATAACATAGCACATGTATTGTTGTCTCAATTTTTCCAAGGAAAAAGAAAAGGATGTACGAGTGTTTCGTGAGTAGATGCGCATGTCGCAAACGACGCCAAATCCCCATACTTAAAGCGGTCTCACACAATCGATTTCGACACACAGGAAGACGTCTCTTGGCTTATGATACGCAATACTAAGAAACTTTATAGTGGGGATTTTCCTAAATCAAATTATTTTGTATACAACTTTTGGTAATTACTTTATGCTGATCTACGTCTTGACTAATTACAATTAAAAAAATTTATCCACATCTTAATACGTACCGAATATTGTACAGAAAAAACAGCGCTGTACTCGTACATTGCAATGTACAATTGTATTAAAGCTATACGCACGTCCGCTGCTATGGCCTATTTCGACCTTACTCCATTGTGAGCGTTAAAAAACATTTTCAATAAATTCAAGC